TTTATTTATTTATTTATTTATTTATTTATTTATTTATTTATTTATTTATTTATTTATTTTTTGTGCGTGTGTGTGTGTGTGTGTTGCCTACATGTATGTGTGTGCACCACGTGAGTGGCTGGTGCCTGTGGATGTCACGAGAGGGGTCAGGTCCTGGGCTAGACTTAGAGGTGGTTGTGAGTAACTCAAGAGCAGCAGGTGCTCTCAACCTGAGACATCCTCAGTGCTCTTCCTGCCTTGTACTTTTTCTTAGCATTTTTTCCCTTGGTTGTTGGTGTTGAGACTATTGAGTGACCCGTGCTGTGACGCTCTGGATGTGTCTGTTCTGCCCCTGCGGCACTGCGTGACGTGGTCCCTACCCCTCTATCGTCTGCATCAGCATCCAAAGGGTGCTGCCTCTCCCTGCAGTGACAGCCATGCTTCCTTGGGCCTCACTCTGGGGACTGGGGAGCTCGCCGCCCGCCCTGCTACCAGTTTCTTGATTGATCAGTGGGGTCACACCTGATCCATCAGTTAAACTCTTCCTCCATGATGAGTTTTGAAAAATTCCAGTTGCCACCAGACAGAATCCTGAGAGCCTCCTGATTTGGAATTTCTCTTTTCATTAAAAAAAAAAAAAAAACAAAACAAGAAAAAAAAAAAACCCAACAAAACGTTAACACTAATTCACTCTCCAGTTTTCTCAAATGCCGGTCAGTGAGGAAGCTGGACAGGTATGAAAGGCTTTCTGGAAAGCTAATCCCTCTTGCAAAAGATGACCTACAGCAAAGCTCCCAAAGCCAAGCCAGCGTGCGGTAAAAATGGGCCTGTCCAGCCACTTTACAGAGTTCCAACCTAGGCTCCCGTGTGCTGTTTGATGGGCTAAGATTGCCTGAATTTGCCATTTTCCTTCTTTTTTTTGGCCAGGCTGTGGTGGACTCTGGGCCTCGTACACTAGGTGGAGCTGAACGTTCAAAAACAGTTGATTTTATGTTGTTGGAAAAAGAACCCCCAGTCCCCTAAGAGACTCATTAGCCGAGGTCCTCAGTAGCTGGCAGGAGCACACTGTCAGGAAACATTTCCAGCTAGGCTCCCAGGGAATGCCTTCTCAAGTGCCCAACAGAGGGCTGCTGTCTTGCGTGTCTGGACATGTTTCCATGCCTTTCTGGATTTCTAGGTCTTTCCTCAGCCCGGTGGCACAAAGAACAGGGTCAGTGCAATGCAACCCAGGGGCTTTGGGGGAAAGACTTCTCCATGCGTGTTCCGGAGAGGGCTGTGGGCAGGAAGAGGCAGCAGCAGGATGCCGTTGAATGTCTAGCCTGTGGACACAACCTTGCCACCTGCTCCTAACTCCCTTAGAGCTGGAAAGTCACACCTGGCAGATGTGATTCCTGGAGGCTGGGCAGTTCCACTGCAGGCCAGTGGTCCTGTCCACACAGGACTGGCTTTTCCCTGGGCCACACACCCACACCACACAAAGGCTGCGGCCAGGCCACAGTCCCCAGGAGACCGGGTTTCCATGAGCACACTCTATGGTAACTCGAGGGAGGGAGGAGACTTTACTGCCATTAAATGAGGGAAACAACCGCTCATTTTTCAGAACATGTAATTTGAGCAAATGCATAAGACATCTCTGCTCATTCCTTGACCGGAGGTGTTCACTTTGCTATGTGTCCATGTGTGTGTGTCTATGTGTGTGTATCCATGTGAGCCCCCTCTCTGTGTGCTGCACACAGCCAGGGGAGTAGGTCCTTTGTTCTCGAAGGGAGGCGGGGGCATCCCCGAGATGCCTGGCCTTCTCCACTTCCTCCCTCTTTGGCATGCTGCTCTAATGGGTCACCATTCGCAGCGGCTCCTTGGAGCGGCCTTTGCATTCTGGCTCCTAAGGCCACATCTTGAGCACATCTGGAAAGCTCGTGGGGAGGCAGCAGCTGGCCAGTTGGATAATGTGTTTTGTACTAACACGCAGTATGATGAGTCATTTGTGTATGTCTGCCTAGTTCCCTATTTTTTCAGTTGGGTAAACTATTTCTTCCTCTGACCCACTTAAGCACAGATGTCTGTTTCGTCCCCAGTTACAGAGAGAGAGAGAGAGAGAGAGAGAGAGAGAGAGAGAGAGAGAGAGAG